GGATTTAGCTGAGAAATTCAGATATTCGTGGTGTATCAAGCCAAATTTGAAAATTTTCGTCGCACCATCAAAATTCGCCGCAGATCTGTGTTGTGCGCGCAATGCGTGCGGCGCCAACTGGTAAATAAATAAATAGATAAAATTATTGTCATTCAACTGTATGTCTACCTTGGAAGACATCGGAATGGAGCGATACTCAGAACTTGAAGACGAATTTTCTCTACGGTATGGAGACGTCGGGCCCGTGGCATGACGAAGGGCGTGCCTCAGACGAAGCACGGTACTTAAGCAGAGATCAACTGATAAGAAGCTGTTGTGTGTATGTACAGTCGTTTCTGTTATGTTAGCTAATAGTATTCACCAATACACAGCTTCGGGTAGAGGCCTGCGCAAACTGTTATCTGATGCAAAGCTCACAGGTGCTCATTTGTATCAAAATATTTAGTCGGCACTCACATGGTATTCAGAGTCTATGACCTCAATCCCGATAAGTATAATCAGATCTATCTGAAATATACATACATGTATATGATAAACACTAGACATCTATACAAGTCGAATCCACAATTCAAAACAACTCCAGCGAAAACAAAAAAATATGACGAGAACAGTTCGAAACATTTCAATATCTAAAAGTTACAGAAAAAATGTTCAAAACATTTGTATAAGCAATGAAAGTGACAAGGAAGTCTCGTGGTAATGAGGCAAAGATTACGACGTTTCAAAGTGAATGAAGAGAATGTGAAGAAGCTGAAGAACCCATCCCCTGTAGCATTAAGGTGTGCTCAAGGGAAACTTATCAATAGAGGATGGAAATGGTGCAAGAAGGCTAATACTCAACGAGCTCACTCCAAAGGCACGTAACAAAAGCCACTTCGCGACATCACTCTATTTGTGTGCTGCAAATGATTCGAGCTTAGCTTGGGAATAGATCGGATGCAGATGGACAGAAGAGAGAAACACGTCTCCGGATGAGGGTAGAACACTGCGAAACGGATGTACTTCGAGTCAGCACAATCAAATGGGAGCAGCTTCGCGAAGTGACTTGCTGTTACATTCGTGGGTTCCACGGAACGTGCCATTATGCGGATTACTGTTCGTCCTGTTCTGGTGCCAGACTAGAGGTCAGACCAGCTTGCAAGCCAAGTTCTATCCCAGTTTTTCAAACGAACGGCAACCGAAATACGCAGGAAAACTTCCAAATAGCCCGAAATATTAGAGTCGTGACCCCTGCAGACCCAAAAATCGATGTGAGTCTTCGTTATAATCCCAAAATGCGTTTCAACACGATGCCTTCGAACAACGGAAAGAAAAACATAAAACATCAACAAAAAATAATCAGTGGCCACTACCCAAAAAAGACACTTCTATTCAGCTTTGATTTCGGCCGCTCCTGTGACTTTAACTGCAAACCACGTAGACGATGGGTTGTGGAATCGCACCACATACTCGGCCGGGATCACTGTTATACTTCCGTATTCGGGTAACTGGAATGAAAATTTGCACCTTGGAATTTCAGTGCTCAGCACGTAAACGAGTAAGTACCTTCAAACTTGTCAGGGTGATCTTCGGCCAAACTTTAACTTCTTTTCCTGCCTCGCGTCGTACAATTTCAAACTCGACGTCGCCACTGATTGTGAAGTTCCAGATCAGACGACCAGCTTGTGTGCATTTTCTGAAGTCGGATTTCATACAGTACGTCCCATAACTTTGTACCAAAGGCCGCCGGAATATGCTAATCCGCGTTCTCTTTCTGACACTAAGAACGAAGGCTTATACAACTCGACGAGTCGAGTTCAATGGTATAAATTTCCATGAAGGGAAATGGACAGAAATCAGGTTATAACAAAAAGACCCAAAAGACACGGACTCGAGCTTTCGGCGGATTTTTTTCTTTGACCGACGTTGGTACTGTACAATGAGTAGCACTGGCACCATAGGTTTAGGTTAGTTTCTACCAGTCTTTTCCACCATTGAGATCCACCAATTGACGCCTAAATTACGGTCAGAATGTAATCAAATTCTGACCGTAATTTAGGCATCAAGTGGTGGATCTCATGAAATCTACCTCTTACCTAACAAGTTCGCAAGACTGATAGCTTTTGATTGTGAACGTTTTACTTGGCGGTGGCTTGATAATCCCGTAGTCAGTCCAGACATCGTCGACCTGAATCATTTTGAAAGAATGAGATCCGGACATTAACCATCAATCTATATATAAACAATCTTTGTCTGCTAGTCTGAAATTGTCGATTTTTTCGTTTTTTACTGCTAGAAAAAACCAACTCCTCTGTACTCTGCGCTTGTAACGGGTTTGTGCGGACGAGTGCACCCCTCGGGAGGCTTTGAGTAGCCGGAATCATCTCGCCACGTGCCACCATACTCAACAGGAATTGCCTTAAAAATTAATATTTGTTGAGAAGAATTTCTATCAAGCTGAAACTACGCTTACGTAAGTAGCGAAGCAATACTCACATGAGGCTCAAGATATTTATGTAATTGTGAGTAGTCATCGAGAAATGACAGGCGACTGAACGTTTTAGCATCCATAATGCATTTCGAGATCTGAAGTCGGAAAAAGAGCAGTCCAATACAAAGACCTAAGAGAACAGGCAATGACATAGCCTATTTCTGAATTTTTCCTCGCTTGATTTTTCTCATAATCAGAAAACTATGAGCAGGTGATGCAATTCACACCATCATCACTATGGTCGGGTGGTCCACGCTATTATTGAAACAAATTTGAAACCGAAAAAAATTAATTCTGAAAACTCACTTTAAACATCAATGACATGATAGCGGGAGGGTTGATGATGAGCAGCTTGCACATCTGAAAAAATAACGATTTTGAGATATAAATTGCCATTGATTGAAAATTGATTTGATAAAGCCATTATTGATAAAAGTTGGTACAGAGGGGAGATGTCCACTGTGCAAAAAAAGCAGTAAAGCTTTCAGCGTTAATTAATTGTTTTCGAGCACGCCATGCAGCGAACTTCCGTTCAAAGTTTTCGTTTCAATTGAATGCAGTATTCTATAAATATAATGACTTGCGGAGTGAAACCGATGTGCAAGTTAGGGTTTAGTCCAAGCAGATGAGTCTCTTAGCAATTTCCTGACTACGCAGAGTTTGAAAGCTTGGTTGGTCAGGCGAGGCTCAATCAAGGATTTGTCACTGGGACGTTAGCATGCAGCAGCTACATATATATTTAGGCTGCATCACCTTTGTTCCCACTGTTTTACTACATAAGATCGTGAGAAAGTTCTGAGAATAGCCAAAATTCACAGGACTCAGGCACCGATAACAAAGGAGACATTGATTTTCGGTGAAGGATGGCCATACGTTATATAAGGAGGGGGTTGAAGCTTAGAAGAAAAAGACATTTCCCCATGTAGCGTATCAGTGTTTTTTTTTTCACAGAATGCCACCGTTGACGGAACCCTTATAGCATCCCGGATTTGCTCCTCTATGGATAGATTCAAGCCCTTCTTCATAGAACTCATCGTCTTTGGAAAATGATGAAATTTGTGACTGCCGTCGGGCTTAGGTAGACCTACCGTTATTGCACCAGCCTCAAGCAGTTCATTTCTCCAGTAAATTCACTGATGGACAGTTTCCCAAAGACAAGCCTTGAAATGCAAGCTCCCTCTCAACCAGCGTTTCAGATAACGCCTAAATGGTTCCCTATCCGTCGATGACCCCGTTGGGCTTAACTCGTGCACCATTTTCCGTAGTAACTTCTATTACTTCCGAGTAGGATGCACGAACCTATTTCTTATAAAGTGGAATGTTCTCACCAGTTTCAGACGAGCATTTTGTTAAAAATTATCCTGTGTGATCAAGTTTTAATCATGAAACGAATTGGATATGAAATGAAATGTCTTATTTTCTATGGCTCCTGCATAAATAAGCAAATAAATAAATAAGGCGTGGTCTGGCGGCAAGTGGCGCCGGGTCCTATTGAAAAGAACATCATTCCACCTCAAATGGCTAGATACTTTAGTAACAGATGGTGCACCGAGATGTCCCTTCAGGTCTCTTCTCGAGTGGTACTCCTCCTAAACAGGCAGTGGTGGTGAGCGACCAGTAGTTGAGACTTCTGCCTAGACCGTGATGGGTTTGGTTGGCCACAGATTGGTTTACCACGCGCACGGCTGGGGGATCAAATCCAGGGTCGTGAGTCGCCCGGGCCAACCAAGCCTTCCATCCCTCCGGGGTCGGTTAATTGGTACCAGACTTGTCTGGGAGGATAAAAACACTGACTTGTACATCGGCTGGCCCCCGCAAGTCATTGTATAGGCCACATCGCATTCAAACGCCACTACGAATGTACAAATGGAAGTAGAATGCGTGCCGCATCCCAAAAAGGGATTGATCAACTTGCTACCCCAAGAAGGGTCGAATATGAGTGTAACGTTTGTGATCCGGGAACTATACATGGCTCTTTCAGGTTTTCTTTCGTAATAGTGGATTGAGAAGTAACAACATTTGTGGGAACAATGGATGGTCTTTAACCAACACTCACATTTTCACAAAAATATTCGGCCCAGATTTTCACAACGAGTCGAGCTAGTTGTACGGGAGCCGAAAGTGGGTTCAGAAATTCGCTCACGTTCATACCTCTGAGGTCGAGAATGGTGACCACAGATGATGGGCGTCCTGAAATGTTTAAAATTATAGAAAGATCATCACATGGAAATAGGACACCATTTTAATGTTCGTGCCAGAAAAAAATCAATAATGACTGCACCTAAAGCTTATATTTTCCAAAATACACAACAATATAACCGAGTTTTCTTAATACTTTGCCTCAAAAAAAAACTCTCGAAAAAATCTTCAATTTTGCCAGGTCAGACATCCATTGAAAGGAGAGCATGAGTAATCTATCATTCTGAACTTCTTCTAGGTGCCCAACCGTATTCAAATTTATGTGAGACCTCATGGTGCGTTCATTGAGAAATTGCAAAATTGAATGGTAATTTCAACTTCGATTCCTCAGATGCATGAGTAAAGTGAACGTGTTCATGAATAGAACCCCTCAAGAAGAAGCAAGACGTTAGTGATACGCATATTTAACGTTACCGATTCTCTTCTCGGTCTCTGCCACAGCACGACCGAATATGTCGTGAAGCATGAAATATGAATGTAGCACGTAAGACAGCGGAATCACCTTCATTATCTGAAATATCGAATATCAAGGCCTTGCTGGCATTCATAATTTTAGCACGTTCAGATTCCCGCCGGCATCTGTCACAAATGCTGGCGACGGGAATGCTTCCACTTGGTTCTCGGAGTGCCGTCACTAGAACTCTTTCTGGCCTTTTGACTTATTGCATTACACACTTCTACTGCATCCTATTCTATCGGATCGATTTGTCTCTATTCTCCAAATCGGACGCTTTAACCCGATTCTTTCAATGCCTCACCTGACACGTGAACTCCCCAAAACGCCCTCTCCCCATACGTCTCTGCCCGACCTACCTTAACCTTCGACCGTCCATAGTGTGATTTTCTTAGTTCATTTCTCTACGGAAACTCAATGTTCGTGCGTGAATCTTTGCATGCTGTCTCTAGTGATCACAACTGACCTGCTTATGTTGGGAGAAAATACAGTGGGGAGGATTCATCTAACCTGCTATATTTACCTTCCTGTACCAACATCTCAAATGAAACGACTAATAAATCGACAGAATTGGGAATGGTTCTCCTTTATAGTGGGTTTTGCTGATTTTGCTTATCATTTTCTATGGGAAAACTATGAGAGCATTTTTGTGTAGGGGCTTCGCGGATCACGTTGGATGGGGAGTCAGATTTGATTCTGTGAGTACCGAGACCCATCTTGTGAAATAACAAAACTCATGGGAACATCCCAAACAAGCGTTTCCTTCTTAGTGCAGCTTTCGTGCACTGTAAGAGTTTACGGCAAAATACTGGAGACACCGATGACAGAGTTCAAAGAGACGAACAAAATCTCGACATGAAGACATTTATCAAAAACATCCGTCCTAGAAACCCTGGTCTGACGTTACTCCGCCGAAATCTTTTTTTGGGCTATGACACGGACTTTCGAACTCTGAAATCGCCGTAACTCTACTCTTGCGAAACGGCGGGTCTTTCTTAACGGAATTTTTCACTCTGCTATTCGTGGTGACGGCCTCAACGTCGTAGAGTGCCACTATGCACCAGGAAAGCTGAACTACAGATAACGTTTTTCTGAGCATGGGTTACCTCTTTCAGATCGGTTCCATCCATCTTCTGAACAAAAACGTGCACGTCCCCAGAGAGGATGGAGCGATTCATAAGCGAGATTCGAAACCGCTGAAATTATAAATAGAGAATAGGGAGTAAAAGATACAGCATTTGACCTTAATGAATTTATTTTTGCCACGCATTCCACTTGGACTCGCACGTTGCGGTTTTTAAAGGCAACGACTATTCAAGAAGGCTTATTGTAACGTGGTGGTGGTGCTCAATGGTACGCCAGTGGCGAAAAAAGCAGAAAAATCCGTCAAGAAAACGCAAAACGGGACCCCTTTTTTGGCCGTTGGTTTTCACTCATGAACAGGTAACAGCTCAGAAAGTGGAGTTCACCGCAACGCGTTTGATGGCACCATGCCAAACACGCTTCAATCGAGATGCTCCAGTTGCGCCGCTGCTGGCCAACGCAGCTCGTCCAAATCACCAAGTAAACTAGTGGGCGGATCGCTTTTGGGGGCGGAGTGCTTTCGAAGTCCTGCTCAGCAACCAGCGCACCTTTCGTCGTGAAAGCGCTACACCTCGCTTCCTTGGCAGCCAAGTAACTGCTTCGTGTGGTGCATATGCTTCCCCGATGCGCTCCCTCTTTATCGTAATCGCTGACCTTTGAAGTGGCTATTTGACTTGTGCAATACAATACGTCTTGAATACGAGATTTTCTGATTAGGTTCAACGCTACTTTAAAAGTCCGATTTACCTCGAAAACATTCTACACGGATTTAAGCTACCATGCTTGGAAGGTGGTCGCTTCAAGGATATTATGCAGTAGAAATAATTCAGCTGAGACATACTCAGTTTGCTTCTGTGGTGAATTGGGAATTAGAGCCCCTGCCCTACTTCGATGGCGAGCCTGCGTGCCAAAGAAACAAGTTCACATTTCAGAAAATGTTGCTGATCTTATTGAAAATCTTTTTATAGCTGCTCCCTCCAGTACGCTATCCGGTATTCAGAGGAAAGCGTACTGGTGGGAGCAGCTATGAAAAGAAGATCAGCAATTACCTCATAGGTAGCTTTCCCGATCGGGAACTCAGTAAAGATCTCCATGTCGCTACATCCTGCGTATCCAAGCACTTGCCTAGAACAGTAAATAGTGGACAGATGTTAGTTAAACTGAACAATTAATTCAGAACAGGCGTAAAGGGGTTTCAGGTATGAACCGATCGACATTTTTGTCAAGACAGCTTGTCTCCCCTCCTTGACAAATTCGCAGTTCATA